AAGGGGACATCACACAAGGTGAGAGCGGCATTCCCGGGAATTCTGGAGCCTGGGGAACCCCAAATCCAGCTGGGAATCCTGAAATCTGGGTGGGAATCCTGAAATCCAGCTGGGAATCCTGAAATCCAGCTGGGAATCCCCAAATCCAGGGCTGGGAGGTGGGAGGTGGACGCCCGGTGCTGCCGGGGCACCAAACGTGTGGCACAGCACGAGGGGGCATCACACAAGGTGAGAGGGGAATTCCCGGGAATTCTGGAGCCTGGGGAACCCCAAATCCGGCTGGGAATCCTGAAATCTGGGTGGGAATCCTGAAATCCAGTTGGGAATCCCGAAACTTGTGTGGGAATCCCCAAATCCAGGGCTGGGAGTGCTTGGGAAGTGGGAGCAGGGTGGGAGGTGGCCCAGCACATGGCCCTCCCACAAGGTGAGCCAGCGACATTCCCAGGAATTCTACATCCATGGGAATCCTAAATCCAGGTGGGAATTCCCAAATCCAGCTGGGAATGGGGGCGTTTTGTCCACTTTGGGGTGGATTTTATCCGATTTTGGGCAGATTTCCCCCATTTCCGGTTGAAATTTTCCCATTTCCGGGTGGATTTTCTCCATTTCCGGGTGGATTTTCCCAGTTTTTGGGTGGATTTTGTCCATTTCTGTGTCAATTTTGTCCATTTTTGGTTGGATTTTCCCCATTCCCAGTTGGATTTTCCCCATTTCTGTGTAAATTTTTTCCATTTTTAGGCAGATTTTGTCCCTTTTTGGGTGGGTTTTCCCCATTCCTGGGTGTTTTTCCTCAATTTCTGGGCGGATTTCCTCAATTTTGGTTGAATTTTCTCAGGTTTTGGGTGGATTTTCTCCATTTTTGGGTGGATTTTCTCCATTTTTGGGTGGATTTCCTCCATTTTTGGATTTTCTCAGGTTTGGGGTGGATTTTGTTCATATTTTGGTGAATTTTGTCCCTTTTTGGATGGATTTTCTCTGGTTTTGTGTGAATTTTCCCCATTTCTGGTTGGATTTTCCCCATTTCTGGGTGAATTTCTTCAATTTCTGGTTGGATTTTCTCGGGTTTTGGTTGGATTTTGTCCATTTCTTTGTCAATTTTGTTCATTTTTGGTTGAATTTTCCCCATTTCCGGTTGAATTTTCCCAATTTCCAGTTGGATTTTCCCTGTTTCTGGGTGGATTTTCTCAGCTTTTGATTGGATTTTTCCCATTTCTGGTTGAATTTTGTCCATTTCTGGGTGGATTTTGTCAATTTTTGGCAGAATTTTCCCCATTTCTAGTAGGATTTCATCCATTTCCGGTTGGATTTTTCCCATTTCTGGTTGGATTTCCTCAATTTCTGGTTGGATTTTCTCCATTTCTGGGCAGATTTTCTCCATTTTTGGGCAGATTTCCCCCATTTCTGGTTGGATTTTCTCCATTTTTGGGGTAGAATTTCTCCATTTTTGGGTGGATTTTCTCTGTTTTTCGCGAATTTTCCCCATTTCCGGTTGGATTTTCCCCGTTTCTGGGTGGATTTCCTCAAATTCTGGTTGAATTTTCTCCATTCCTGGTTGGATTTTTCCCATTTTTGGGCAGATTTTGCCCATTTTTGGTTGAATTTTCCCCATTCCCAGTTAGATTTTCCCCCTTTCTGGTCAGATTTTCCCCGTTTCCTGTTGGATTTTCCCCATTCCCAGTTGAATTTTCCCCATTCCCGGTCGGATTTTCCCCATTCCTGGTTGAATTCTCCCCATTTCCTGTTGGATTTTCCCCATTCCCGGTGGGATTTTCCCCATTCCAATGGGATTTCCCCTGTTCCTGGTCGGATTTTCCCCCTTTCCGGTTGGATTTTCCCCCTTTCCTGTTGGATTTTCCCCATTCCCGGTCGGATTTTCCCCATTCCTGGTTGGATTTTCCCCATTCCCAGTCAAATTTTCCCCGTTCCCGGTTGGATTTTCCCCCTTTCCAGTCGGATTTTCCCCATTCCTGGTTGAATTTTCCCCCTTTCTGGTGGGATTTCCCCATTCCCGGTTGGATTTTCCCCCTTTCCTGTTGGATTTTCCCCGTTCCCAGTTGGATTTTCCCCATTCCCGGTCAGATTTTCCCCGTTCCCAGTTGGATTTTCCCCTTTCCCAGTTGGATTTTCCCCCTTTCCGGTCGGATTTTCCCCATTCCTGGTCGGATTTTCCCCCTTTCCAGTCGGATTTTCCCCTTTCCAGTCGGATTTTCCCCATTCCTGGTTGAATTTTCCCCCTTTCCTGTTGGATTTTCCCCATTTCTGGTTGTATTTTCCCCATTCCTGGTTGGATTTTCCCCCTTTCTGGTGGGATTTCCCCATTCCCGGTTGGATTTTCCCCCTTTCCTGTTGGATTTTCCCCATTTCTGGTTTGTATTTCCCCATTCCTGTTGGATTTTTCCCCTTTCTTTGGTGGGATTTCCCCATTCCCGGTGGGATTCTCCCCGTTCCCGGTGGGATTTTCCCTGTTCCCGCTCGGATTCTCCCCGTTCCCGGTGGGATTTCCCCGTTCCCGGTTGGATTTTCCCCCTTTCCAGTCGGATTTTCCCCATTCCTGGTTGAATTTTCCCCCTTTCCTGTTGGATTTTCCCCCTTTCCTGTTGGATTTTCCCCATTCCCGGTGCGATTTTCCCCGTTCCCGCTCGGATTCTCCCCGTTCCCGGTTGGGATTTCCCCGTTCCCGGTGGGATTTCCCCGTTCCCGGTCTCCCATTCCCGTTTTCCCGCCCCAGCTGGCCCTTTGGAGCCGGACTCCCCGTGCACGTTCGGCAGTTCCTGTCGGCGGAGAAGACGCCGTCGTGTTCCACCATCGACCTGCGGCAGGACCGGCCCGCCTCGGTGACGGTGGGAAAAATGGGATTGAGGGGGGGAAAACGGGAATTCGGTGGGGGAAAATGAGGGATTTGGGGGAACAACATGGGGAATTTGGGGGAAAAAAACACGGGATTGGGGGGGAAAACTGGGAACTCCGAGGGGAAAACAGGAATTCTGGGGGAAAACAGGGTTGGGAATGGTTGGAAAGGGTTGGGAAGGGTCGGGAACTGTTGAGAAGGGTTGGGAAGGGTTGGGAATGATCAGGAATGGTTGGGAATGGTCGAGAAGGGTTGGGAATGGTTGGGAAGGGTCAGGAAGGGTTGGAAATGGTCGGGAACAGTCAAGAACAGTTGGGAAGGGTTGGGGATGGTTGGGAAGGGTTGGGAATGTTGGGAATGTTTGGGAAGGGTTGGGAATGATCAGGAACGGTTGGGAAGGGTTGAGAACAGTTGGGAATGGTCAAGAATGGTCGGGAATGTTGGGAATGTTTGGGAATGGTCAGGAACAGTTGGGAAGGGTTGAGAACAGTTGGGAATAGTCAGGAACGGTTGGGAAAGGTTGGAAATGGTTGGGAAGGGTTGGGAATGGTTGGGAACAGTTGGGAATATTCAGGAATGGTTGGGAAGGGTTGGGAATGGTGGAGAACAGTTGGGAATAGTCAGGAATGGTTGGGAAGGGTTGGGAATGGTGGAGAACAGTTGGGAATGGTCAAGAATGGTCGGGAATGTTGGGAATGTTTGGGAATGGTTGGGAACAGTTGGGAACAATTGGGAATGGTTGGGAATAGTCAGGAACGATTGGGAATGTTGGGAAGGGTTGGGAAAGGTTGGGAATGGTTGGGAAAGGTTGGGAACAGTTGGGGATGTTCAGGAATAGTTGGGAATGGTTGGGAAAGGTTGGGAACAGTTGGGGATGTTCAGGAATAGTTGGGAATGGTTGGGAATGGTCACGAACAGTTGGGAATGGTCAAGAAGGGTTGGAAATGGTTGGGAACGGTCGGGAATGGTGGAGAATGGTTGGAATGGTCGGGAATGTTTGGGAATGGTCGGGAGCTGTTGGGAACAGTTGGGAATTGTCAGGAAGGGTTTGGACTGGTTGGGGATGGTCGGGAATAGTCAGGAATGGTCAAGAATGGTTGGGAATGGTTGGGAATGGTCAGGAATGGTTGGGAAGGGTTGAGAACGGTTAGGAATGTTTGGGAACATTTGGGAATGGTTGGGAATGGTTGGGAATGTTTGGGAACAATTGAGAAGGGTTGGGAATGGTTGGGAATGGTTGGGAAACATTCCTGACTTGGGAACGGTTGGGAATGGTTCGGAATAGTTGGGAATGGTTGGGAATGGTTTGGGAATGGTCGGGAATGTTTGGGAAGGGTTGGGAACAGTTGGGAATGTTTGGGAATGGTTCTCCCCCATCCCAGGGTTTGCCCCGTGCCGTCCCGGCCGGTTCGGGGCCGCGTTCCCGTTTTTCCCGGGAATGTTCCCATCCCGTGGGGGGGTTGCTGAGCCCATCCCGGTGTTTTCCCTTTCCCAGGAAGTTGGTGGTGACGAAGGAGAAGGAGAAGAAGGTCGGGCTCTACACCATCTACGTCAACCCCGCCAACACCTCCCACTTCGCCGTCGGCGGCAGAGACCAGTTCGTCAGGTGGGGGCGGATCCCGGGAATTCCCCAGCCTGGGAGACCCCAAATCCTGGGATACCCCAAATCCTGGGAGACCCCAAATCCTGGGATACCTCAAAATCCTGGGAGCCCCCAAATCCTGGGAATCCCCCAAATCCTGGGAATCCCGAATCCTGGGATACCCCAAATCTTGGGATACCCCCAAATCCTGGGAATCCCCCAAATCCTGGGATACCCCAAATCTTGGGATACCCCCAAATCCTGGGATACCCCCAAATCCCGGAATATCCAAATCCTGGGATACCCCAAATCCCGGGATACCCCCAAATTCTGGGATACTCAAAATCCTGGGATACCCTCAAATCCTGGGATACCCTCAAATCCTGGGATACCCCAAATCCCGGAATATCCAAATCCTGGGATACGCCAAATCTTGGGATAACCCCAAATCCTGGGAATCCCCCAATCCTGGGATACCCAAATCCCAGGATACCCCAAATCCCGGGATACCCCCAGTCCTGGGATCCCCTGAATCCCGGGATCCCCCCCCAGGCCCCTAAATCCTGGAATCCCCCCGGCCTCGAATCCCGGGATCTCCCTGCCCCCCAAATCCCATGATCCTCTCAACCCCAAATCCCGGGATCCCCCCAATCCCAGGATCCCCTCCGACCCTGAATCCTGGGATGCCCCCATCCCCCCAAATCCCAGGATCCTCATGGCCCCTCAAATCCTGGGATCCCCTCAGCTCCACATCTGGGATCCCCCCAGCCCCTAAATCCTGGGATCTCTCTGCCCCCGAATCCCAGGATTCCTCCCCCTCCGGCCCCCCAGATCTCAGGATCCCCCCAGTCCTGGGATCCCCTGAATCCCGGGATACCTCCGGGCCCCCAAATCCCAGGATCCCCCAATCCCGGGAATCCCCCCAGTCCCAGGATCTCCCCGGCCCCGAATCCCGGGATCCCCCCCAATCCCAGGGTCCCCCCCAATCCCGGGATGCCCCGAATCCTGAGGATCCCCGAATCCCGCGGGAATGCCGAGCCGATCCCGATCCGTTCCCGTTCCCGTTCCCGCAGGATTTACGACCAGCGGAAAATCGACGAGAACGAGAACAACGGGGTCCTGAAAAAGTTCTGCCCCCACCACCTGGTGGGAATCATGGGAATGATGGGAATACTGGGAATGCTGGGAATGCTGGGATGGGCTAGGAATGGGAATGCTGGGAATACTCTGAGCACTGGGGGCACTGGGAGCGCTGAGAATACTGGGAATGCTGGGAATGCTGGGAATAGTGGGAATACCAGGATGGGCTGGGAATGCTGAGGGCACTGGGAATGCTGGAAGTGCTGGGATGGGCTGGGAGCACTGGGAATACTGAGAATGCTGGGAATACTGGGAGCACTGGGAATGCTGGGAATACTCTGAGCACTGGGAATGCTGGGAGCGCTGGGAATGACGGGAGTACTGGAAATACTGAGAATATTGGGAATGCTGGGAGTCCTGGGAGTGGTGGGAGTGCTGGGAATACTGGGAATGCTGGAAATGCCAGGATGGGCTGGGAATACTGGGAATACCAGGAATACTGAGAATGCTGGAAATACTGGGAATGCTGGGAATGCTGGGAGCACTGGGAATATTGGGGGCACTGAGAGCACTGGGAGTACTGGGAATACTGGGAATGCTGGGAGTCTTGGGAGTGGTGGGAGCACTGGGAATACTGGGGGCACTGGGAGCACTGGGAATGCTGGGAGTGCTGGGAATACTGGGAAAGCTGAGGATACTGGGAATACTGGGAGCACTTGGATCTCTGGGAATGCTGGGAATACTGGGAGTACTGGGAATACCAGGAATGCTGGGAGCACTGGGAATATTGGGAATACTGGGGACACTGGGAATACTGGGAATGCTGGGAATACTGGGAGTACTGGGAATGCCAGGAATACTGGGAATATTGGGAGCACTGAGAGCACTGGGAATGCTGGGAATACTGGGAATACTGGGAGCACTGGGAATACTCTGAGCACTGGGAATACTCGAAATACCAGGAATACTGGGAGCACTGGGAATACTGGAAATCTGGGGGGAAAAGGAGGAATTTGGGATGAAAACCGAGAAATTTGGGGGGGGAATTCCGGGAAACACCCCCAGCTCCCTGTCCAGGCGCCGGAATCCCAGGAATCCCGTGGGGAATTCCCATTTTTCCCTGTTTTCCCCCCCCAGGTGAACAGCGAGTCCAAAGCCAACATCACGTGCCTCGTGTACAGCCACGACGGCTCCGGTGAGGAAAACGGGGGGGAATTCCTGGGATTCCCGGGGTTTCC